TCTTGGCGCTTTAAGTATTCGTCACCTAATCTTCATAAAATCACACCAAGAAGGTACCATTATGATTATGCTCATTTTATAAATGAGGACACTGAGGATTAGAGAAGCTAAGTTACTCTTTTAGGGTCTCTCACATAAAAAATGGCAGAGCCCAAATTAAATCCCAGCCATCTGACCTCAGAACCTGTCTTTATCCAATGCACTCTACTCTCTCACTTATAAAAAGCTGTAAGCAATGATCAAAACCCAACTCCTACCGCTCTGCTAAGCACGGGGAAAGGAAATCTCGTCCTCTCTAAGCAATCCCCACACTCTTCTGAGATACAGGGAGACTCGAAGGTTGGAATCCCAACGTCCAATGACATGAACCTGGTTAATCCAATGACATGAACCTGGTTCTTTTCTTTTTTTAAAATTACAGCTATGGCTATTTTTAATACCACAAAGTTCAGGGCTGTTTTCTTTTCAATTAGGGGAGTTTTGATTTTTCCCAATATGCTGTGTTTTTTTTTTCTTCTTTTTTTTTTTTAAGCTGTATTTTTAACAGTGCCATATGATCCATATATCATACAATTCAGTATTTCAATCATATTAAGAGTTGTGCAATCATCAACACAATGAATTTTAGAACAATTTCTTCTTTCTTGTACTTATTATTAGCTCCCAATTCCCCACCCCCAAACTCCCCTGCCACACCACTAAGAATCCATTAACCTAGTTACTGTCTCTCTACAGTTACCTACGTGGAATCTGCCCACCTAGAAAGGAACACTTTCCCCCGAGAGTCTCGTGGAAGCAAGCTCTTTTGGAGGATTTTCAGCCCAGCCGTGAAGGGGGGCTCGGGTTCTGGGGTCACTGTGCATTTACCCTGAGAAGCCCAGGGCTAGGTACGAGCAACCAGGCCTCGCTTCTATGTCTTGGAGCCCATGAAATTAGCCCATCCACAGGGAGTCCACCTCGTCTGTCACACTTCAGCCCCTGCCTACCACTCTAATTTAATGTTACTCTGTCCTGGAGTACAAACGATAAGTGCTAAGCCCTAACTGAAAGGTTGGCGGTTAGAACCCACCCAGTGGCTCTGTGAGGCAAACACCAGGTGATCTGCTCCGGCCAAGACAACAGCCAAGAAGACCCTACGGGGCAGTTGTTATGTCACACAGGGTCGCTGAGCCAAAATCACTTGGCAGCACCCCACAACAAAAGACACCTACCTGTCTTTAACCTAAAACCACACCTGGTATTTTTAATGATAAAACACTCTTCCACCTAGCCTATAAACAGTGAGAGCGGGCTTATTCTGTGAGGACTGCCTTATTCTATGCTATACCCCCAGGGCCTAGAGCAAAGGACAGTCAGGGTAGTCTCACTGAAGTTAGTACAGTTTATTGAGCATTGGAAAGTGAACTAACGTAGTTGCAGTTAAGTTAAAATTTAGCATCTTATCATTTTCCCCCCTTAAGATCCATTTTAAGTTTGTTCTAGTATTTGTGTTTGTTTTTGGTTGTTTTTTTTGCATGTTTTCCTTTATATGAAACCCAGGATAAATCTGGAGAGACAATGACGGGACTAATAATTTCTTAGGGTTAGGACAAGGGTCCCTGGAGGCTTAATGGTTATGAGTAGGGCTGAAACGCACCAGTCCAGCAGTTTGAAACCACCAGCCGGTCCTCGGGAAAAAGACCAGGCGTTAACTCAATGGCCTGATTTTCAAGGAGAGGGTTATGGCCAGGGAGAGAGGGGGAAATTGGAAGGTAATAATAAGGAGTGAAAGATAGAAGAAAATGTTCTAAAATTGATTATGGTGATAAATGCACAAGTCTTTTTAATATGCTTAAACAATTGAATTGTATGATATACGGATTACATGTCGATATAACTCTTAGATCTTTAAAAGTGCAATAGTTGATGCGTTGGGAAGCCTAAGATGGGAACAATTTCTAAGACACACAGTCGTTTGCACTCACAGTTCTGCCACACGCCATCAAGCACTCAACCACTCCCCGTCCCCCGCC